TTTTTAAAGTCAAATATAAAAGCTACAGTTTTTTACAGTGCGACCTTTTTAAAAAGATTGAGTGAAATTGACTTAGAACGATGCCAACTGCGCAAAATGACGAGGTCCAAAATATCGTTCGAGATAGGCATCAGTGAAAAACACAGAAAAAAAACTAAGAAAAACACAGCAAGTAGATTAAAAAAAAAACAAAAAAAAAAAACAACAAACCCTCTCACAAAGTTCATCCAAAAAGTATCAACCATTTAGCCCAGATAAAAAAGTTAAAAAATTGAAAACAAAAGGTACTACTATAGTAAGTACCTTGAGATACGAGCGTCCCGACATACGAGTACTCCGAAATACGAGCTAGCCTTCGAGCACATTTCTGCTTTGAGATACGAGTAAAGATTTGCGATACGAGCACGCTTACAGACGGTGACGCTAGTTGGCCGAGCACTCGGAGCAGCCCACGTCGCCTCGTTCGTTCACTTCACGCATTCGTTGACTTCCGTACGCATTTACCGCGAGTCTTCCGTGTTGCGTTTGCATTATCTACGTGATTTTCTCTCTATTTTGTGCATTATTAGTCCTAAGAAAGTGAGTGGTAAGGATGGTAGTGAGAAGAAGAAACGCACGATGACCATGGAAATAAGTCAGGAAATGGTCGATAAATATGAGCCTGGTGCCCGCTAAAGAAAGAATACCAATCGAAAAATGTAAAAAAATAAAAATAAAAATAGAAAAATACCCTGGTGCCTGCTAAAGAAAGAATACCAATCGAAAAACACACACAAAAAAAAATAAAAATAGAAAAATAGCTACAACTGTAAAAAAGCAACTGTAATGAAATGATTTTTCTTCTGAATTGACATTTTAGAAATAGTTGTTCTACTTATACATACAGTTCCATTTTTAGAGCTACGACATCTAACAGAGCACCACCATGCTCTCCGTTAGCTCAGCGGCGCCCCCCCAAGGGCTCTGGCTGTGCTGCGCAACCATCCTGGGTTAACCTTTCCTGAAGGCAGAGGGGAGCCCACGCACACACACAGCTCTTTAGCATAATGAGTGTGTTTATCAAAGGCCTACGACCCGCACACGCACACACGCACACGCACACCGACTCTAATGGGTGTGTGTTAGTATGTATGAGTGTGTTTCCCATTGAGCTGGGAACGAGGCCACAGGTTATGGTGCTTTAAATTAAACACTCACACACACTCTCTCACACACACACACACACAGTCATGGCCGCCCTCAGACCTCATTTAAAGATGAAATCGTTTATGTGACCAAAGTGTCATTTATAATTAATGATCACTTGTGTGTCATTTAGAGGGATCTCACCTGTGGCCTCGTCCCCAGCTCAGTGGGAAAACACACACACACCGCACACACACACACACAATACAATCAGTAGTGCACACAAAAGCCTGAGGCGTCACTTACATGATGGAGGAGAGCTTATTATTTGTCGCGTTAAACCATCAATTATAGGCATTAAAATAAGTAAAGCACGTTTGATGTCTCTCAGAAAATGGTTCCATAGTGTAGCGGTTAGCACGCCTGCCTCGAGAGCAGGGTCCTGGGTTCAATTCCCGGAGGAACCACGTGTTTGGCGTCTCGTGGCGGCAGCCTGTGTAACTGCATATCTGCTGCTAACACAAAAATTTCGCAAATATGCGATCAGTAAACAACAGAAATGGACATTAGATCTGTGCTAAAAATCTACCTTTAGCAACTAGCAAGAAACATGGCAAGGTTAGAAGCTAAAAGTGAAACATGAGGCCGAACTAATAATGATAATAATGATTGATTGATGCCGAATATTTAAATTTTCTCGAAAAAAAAAAGGTGTGCTGAAGAGCTAACGTGGGTTAGCTAAAAATATTGGCAAACTAATGAACGTCCGATAAGTAGCCACATTATTAATGATTAGCCAATTCTATCTTTAGCATTTTAACGATGTCTCTTGTCCTTGGTATTATTTCTTTCAGCATTTTTTTTCTTTGTAGTATTCTTTGTTTTTGGTACTCACTGTAGTACTGTCTCTTCTTCCCTGTATGAGTCCTGAGGCCTCGCCGCCGTCCGCCTCCACCTTTGACTGACCAGACTCAACAGCTTCAGACGCATTGATTTTTTTCTTTTACTTTCTCCTCCTCTGACACTTCATCTCGCCCTCCATGATCTACGACCTTATTTTCACACTAATTTCTCCCCTGATCACAGGTGATAAATATCACATTGACATAACCAACCCTTTTGTGCGTTGCATGGATGCACTGTTTTGTTTAAGACGGGGGACGGTAACGATCCCTGGAGCGCTTACACTCACAGTGACAGTTTTGAGAAATGAGCGCAGTCTCGTCGCCTTGCCTTCAGAGATGCAGCCGCTTTGAAAAATGTATTTCTCTCTTTCTCCTTCTGTTTTTTTTTTTTTTTTTTTGTTCTCTACATTTTATTCAAGAACACCAATACAAGCTTAAAACTTTTCCTAATCTTCCTACTTTCTAACACAGGGGTGTTATACTCATTTTCACCACATCAGCAATACAGTTCCCTTTGTATAGATCAGGGCTCCCCAACCCCTGGTCTGCGGACCAGTACCAGTCCATAGGTCATTTGGTACAGGGCCGCAGCGGGACACAGTGAAAAAATTTACTCCATTCATAGCCATTTACTTTCTTTATTTAAAGATAATCTGGACGTATTTTAAAATAATAAGTCATTCAGAATGATACAAACAGAATAGAGTCTAAAAGATGTCTTACTTTTGAAAATGTCATGACCCTTCGATGGTCAGCACCTTGGTCCTGGTCGGTAGTAACCGGTGGTACTGGCTGCCCAGTCCTTGGAACAAAAAAGGTCATGTGATTGGCTCAAGTGCGCCCCCAACAGGGAATAAGCAGTAGATAATGAATTCTTATTTTTAAACACTATTCATAAAATCACCTTATCTAGTAGTATTAAAACAGAAAATAAGGATGCGTAAATAAAGTTTATTCTGTTTTAATTCATGTTGAACTGCAAAGGTAATATAGATGTTCAGGTTTGTATCTCATGATTCCTACTGAAGATTTATTTATTTATTTTTTGTTCTTGATTTGCCCCCCCCTCACTCACTTGGTCGGTGACTTTTTTTTTCCTCGTCCCTGTTCACTTTGGTTTGACTATTTGTTTTTGCAAATTCAGTGAAGGCCTCCGAACTATGGAAACCTGAGCCGCTGTTGTCTTTGAGCCGACGGCCGTGATGACTGTACGACAGCTCATTACGCCTTATCTGCTCACTGACCGCTAAAGTTATCATTGCCGTTTTGTTTTGCATTGATACACTGAAATCACAGTGTGGCCAGTTTAGTGAATTCGAAACCAGTCATGCATACAAGCCACTGTTGTTTTAAATCCAGAAGACAAAACCCGTGGACGGTGAGTTGACACTCCGTCGTCTAGTTTTACAGCGCTGGCCGTAAACCCCGGGTTCTCCTTAATCTACTTTATACGATCAACCGCTCTGGAATAGCTGAAGACACCACTTTCTGTCAGTCACTCAGAAGACTCCGCATCAGTCGACAGATAACAAACGAGGATGTCCATCCAGCCAATGAGATGCTCCTTATTACCTAATGACGGAGGACAGGTGATTTGTTACCGAGGCGCTCTTGTTAGTTTAAGTGGTGGGAATCGACAGGACAGTCAGATCCTCTGTCTCCGTCTGGAGGCTGGTTCAGACTTCACTGTCTGATCTGAAGGCTAGCTGGTTCGGAGGCAGTCCTCACACGGGCGGCCATAGAACTCCCAGCCTTTATGCGGGGCAAGTTATGGCTCAGAATCAACAGTCTGCATCTGCCTTCTTCCTCCCCAACAATCACCAACCACTGATTTTGAATAGTCTTTCAACATCCACCTTCATTTGTGTCCATGCAAATGTCTCCGACCCGCGTTTGTACGATCAGTCGACTTCTGGTCATTTCTCCCGAGGCCTGGACATGTGCCGTGCAGCAGAATCCTCTCGGTGCAACGGCAGCTCTTGTCCTGCCGGCGTCCGCCTTTTTCTTGCTATTGACCAGGTTGCACGTGATAAATCATGAGTGGAGTGGAGCTATTTTGAAAGTAGCCTAATGAAAGCTCATTTGTAAAGAGGCTAAATGGTCCTGACAAAGGCCCTAATGAGAAAATCAATAATTCAGCGATTGTTACTCTGCTTATACTAATACGTCTAGTTGCGCCGTAGTCCTGGCTGGGATAAGGTCTTTTTTTTTTTTTTACTCCTTTCACTTCTGCATGTCAGCACTGTTGTAGGTGTTTAATTTTCGCCCCGTCCTCGAAGCCTGCAGATAAATAGTCTGTTGTTGGTTGGAAACATTTCCGAGCCATCTGTGATTTCTGCTCCTGAATAACGTTTATATGAGAAACGTTCACCGATCATTAAACATATTGATCGGCCCTAACCTAGAATTAACCTCAGGGCGTGGATCATCTCTCCAGCCTGTTGTTTTCCAGTGGGACCAAATGAGACCAAATGCTGCTCATCGACAGGCTTTTGTTAAGTAGTAGTAGTAGTAGTAGTAGTAGTAGTAGTAGTAGTAGTAGTAGTAGTAGTAGTAGTAGTAGTAGTAGTAGTAGTAGTAGTAGTAGTAGTAGTAGTAGTAGTAGTAGTAGTAGTAGTAGTAGTAGTAGTAGTAGTAGTAGTAGTAGTAGTAGTAGTAGTAGTAGTAGTAGTAGTAGTAGTAGTAGTAGTAGTAGTAGTAGTAGTAGTGCTAGTTCAAATTTTTCCTTATAATTATTGAAATCACAAACAGGCTATTATTTCAAGATTTTTTTAATCAAATTTTTAAACAGGGACTTGGCTAATTAAATAATATTTATTTATATTATTATTATACTTCTGCTTTTTCCCTGCAATGCCTGTATTTCTCCATTAAATGATGTAGAAAAGGCTAAAAACATTTTAGCATGACTTTTACATGTCATTTGTCTTAGTTCACACGAACGTTCCATCTATCTGCTCCTGACCCGGCCCCCCTAGTCAAACCCATTGTGGCCCGCAGGGTCACTGCTGCCTCGTGTGGTCAGTTAGTGTAACTCCAAACAAGGACTGTAAATACAACTTATTAAAGCAGCAGTGGAGCAACAACAGTTGTGGGTCGTGATAGAAAATGACTGATTTCCTGTGTGTAAAAAGGAGAGAAAAAGGAGACAAAACGACAAGTTGATTCTTTAAGTGTGTCATTGAGTGAGACTGTGCCTTGTGTCTTATTCTAGTTCTCAGAGCATGGTTGCAGGGGATGGTGCAAACAGAACTAAACTTCTAAAACAAACCTGACAACGTGGTTCATCCTGGAAGATCTTAAGACAAAACTCACTTGTCACACAATTTTGTTTCCCACGTAATACACTCAGCACACTGTCGTGAAGGAAACCAAAGACGGGAGAAGACGAAACTACACGATCTTCAGAAATCTTAAGGCCTATGTTTCATCATCCCGGTCTCAGCAGTTCCTGTTTTCCTCTTTTTCAGAACAAAGAACAAACTGTGGTACTTTGAGTTTGGAACTTCAGAGACATTCTCCGCCACGTGTAAGAAGCTCCACGACTTTTTGGAGGTCGAGGTAAATAAATAAAAACAAAACTTTTATGCTTCATATCAGTGAAGAGTCAATGTGATGTGTCTCCTGTCCTTTGGGTTTGACTCTAGTTTTGTCCAGAAAAAAAAATAAAAAAATGTTGATTGCTTCACACGTATTATTGGCCGTGCGGTGTGTTTTAGCGGTTAAACAGGTCAGGAAGAGAAGCCTTTTGGTCAGCCATTGTTCCAAAAATAATCCAAATTTATGCTATTTCCAAACCGGAGCAGACAAAGTGTTGATAGATGGAGGAGATCATGAGAACGTCTCTTCTTACAAAAGCACAGCTCAACACAGAGGTAATTAGCCTGAGGTGACCCCACTGTGTGTGATACTGAGTGATAATGAAGATGGTATCTCCTCAGTTCATCTGACACACACACACACACACACACACAGCATAGGCAGCGTACAGGTCTTTGTTAATCAGTTTTGAATATTTCTTTCTGTAAATGAACAGGACTGACAGTTGAAGACGGATTGTAGTTGATAAAAACACAACCCTTAGTATGTCTTTTTTTTTTCAGGGTTTTTTTTTTTATCAAAACCTAAACCTATTAAAAGAAGTCAGGTTGAAGAGCAAACGGCCAAACAAACAAAAAAACCTTTTAAACATCAGGAAGCTACTTTTTAAAACAAAATTTCACACCTCTGTGCAAAGTTTTTTTTGGGGGCTTTTTTTGACTAATTTCTAAAATCATTTTTGATAACATTTTAGGGTAAATTAAAGGATTAATGGTCAACTCTTGTTTTTTTTGTTTCAAAGTGTGACGGCGTTACCCTGGACCTCAGCACCATCTCCCTGGAAGGCATTGCGATTCTGAACATTCCCAGCATGCACGGCGGCTCCAACCTCTGGGGTGAGAGCAAGAAGAGGAGGGGACACCGGAAGGGAGGCAAAAAAGGCCAAGAGAAGAGGACCCCACTGCTCGATCCCAAGGAGCTCATGTTTGCTGTTCAAGGTAACGAATATACACACATGAACTACACCAGGGACAAAGTACTAGGTGTAAAAGTAACTAGGTGTAATACATTGTTTCCCAAAGACTGGGTCGCGACCCTCAGGTGGGTCGCAAGAGTTGTTTTTTTTTTTTGGGAAGGTCATCTCGCAAATCTCTTGTTTCCCAGGGGTTTACAAATAATGTCTATTGACTTGGGTCACGAAGGTTTGTGACTTTTAAAATATGGGCCGCCAGAAACAAAAGTTTGGGAAACACTGAGTTAATAGACTGACCGCCGCTCTAGCCCACGGCCTGGACTCCTCCTGAATTTCACCGTCATGGCCTTTCCACTGGCTAACTGGATTTGTGGCATTCACTCTGCCATAAAAAAAAGTGTCACTGCCATAAAGGAAATTCTCATATATGTGCAAAAATTAGATTTGGACCACCAGCCTGCAAGGTGAACTAATTTAAGTCAGTTTTACTCACCACTGTTTTATATGGATTAGTAATGAAATGTTAGTCAACTTTTGTTGTAAAAAATTACAGAAATTACCTTTAATTACTAGGTTACTTTCATAGGGTACATCCTAGGGCAGGGGTCCGGGAAGCGGTCACTTGGTACTGGGCCAGATTGGGACAACATTAGACCGACACCGATCCGGAGTATCGGATCGAGGAACCCCTTCTAATTACCAGTAGTGCATTAACCAGTAAGTAGTTGGTGCAGATGAGTCCTGAGTCCTGTTCTTTTTCTCATTTAGGACACAGTAAAAGGTTGGACCCTTTTTTCTTGACCTTTTTTGTTTCCTCTTTCTATCATCAATATTTTAGCAATGACAATTTGCATCACTGCCTGCAGTGGATAGGTTAAGTTAATCTGAGCAGACTGAGCCGAGGAGTGGGTGGATGTGGGGGATTGGGCTCAACCTTCAATCTTTTAATGCCAAAGAAGAAGACCATAAGAGGAAACGTGCTGTTTGGATGTATTTGGATGTTCTATTCAGGGTTTGGAGAACTGTCATTATTTAGTTAACTTAGTCTTAGTCTTATCTTAAGCCACATTCAGTTGTCTATTTATTTATGTATTTATTTTTGTAAGTGTTTGTCGTGGTCGCCGGTGATGTTACATGGGGCTGTCGGGCATTATTTAGTCCGACACGTTTAAAGCGACTTCTCCGCGTTTTTTAAAATGTATTTAAAAATGCCTCTCTGCCTCAGCTGTTCTGTGTGTTTAGCCCTAATTAGCTCAAACCAGCAGGCACATATGGCTAACTGAGAATATGCATATGGACAGCAGTATGTTGGGCATGTTCTGATGCTGAAGAGTTTTACAAGGAGAGCATTTCTCCACAAGATGTCAGGAAAACACAAGATGTGCTGGGCAACAGTCAAAAGT